CTCAGAATTCTACCATGTTTGCTTCTAAAATTCACATGGACAGACAAAGTTCCCCCCTCCAAAGAATACTAATAATACTGAAAAGAACAGACATGAAGAACTCGTGTTGATTTCCATACTTACTTACATAGTCAAGATGACATGGTACTGGTGTAAAGACAGACATACGGCAATGGAATAGAACTGAGAATTCAGAACTCTTTTTTTGTAAGGTTGGGGGGCTGGTACTAGGAATTGGGGATTGCACATATTAGGTAAGTGCTCTGCCACTGAGCTACATCCCCAGCCCTATTTTGCTTTTTGTTTTTTTGCAGTACCAGGGATTGAACTCAGGGGCGCTTGACCACTGAGCCACATCCTTAGCCCTATTTTGCATTTTTTGTATTTTGTTTAGAGACAGGGTCTCACTGAGTTGCTTTTGCTGAGGCTGGTTTTGAACCTGCTATCCTCCTGCCTCAGCCTTCCGAGCCATTGATATTATAGGTGTATACCACCGTACCAGGCTCCTATTTTGTTTTTTGAGCCAGGATCTTGCTAAACTTACTAGGCTGGCCTCAAACTTGTGATCCTCCTACTTTAGCCTTCCAAGTTGCTAGATTTCAGGCATGTGCCACTACATCCCGCCTCAATTCATTTTTGATGTGAGCGCCAAGGTCGTTCTATGTAGGAGTGGGGGTGGGGTAAAACAGCCTTTTCAAAAAAGATACAGATAGGACAAGTAGATATTCACAAGCAAAAGAATAAAGTTAGAGCACTTCTTCTACCATATACAAAAATTAACTCAAAACAAAACAGAAAACTATAAAGACATAAAACTCTTACAATAAAGCACGGGTGTATTATCTTCATCACCTTCGATCAGGCAAAATTTCTTAGATATGATACCAAAATTACAAACAACATTAACATACAATGGACATCATCAAAATTAAAAACTTGGGGTTGGGGTTGTGGCTCAGTGGTGGAGTGGGGCACTGGGTTCGATTCTCAGCACAACATACAGATAAATGAATAAAATAAAAAGTCCATCAACAACTAAAAAAAATATTAAAAACTTGTGCTTCAGAGCACACTATTAAGAAAGTAGAAAGACAATAAATAAAATGGGGGGAAAATTTTGTAAACCATACCTCTGATAAGAGACTTGTGTCTAGAATACATGAAGAACTATAACTTGATAACAACACACCCACACACACACACAAAAACTACAATTTAAAAGAAGTAGAGATCTGAATAAGCAGTTCTCCAAGCACACAAGAAATGTTCAAGGGGCTGGGGTTGTGGCTCAGTGGTAGAGCACTTGCCTAACACTTGAGGCACTGGGTTTGATCCTTAGCACCACATAAAAATAAATAAAATAAAATAAAATAAAGGTACTGTGTCCATCTATAACTAAAAAACAAAATTAAAAAAGAAAAAAATTCTCAAAACTGTTAGCCATTAGGAAAATGCAAATCAAAATCACAATAAGATACCAATGAATAATTACTAGATAGCTATAATTTTTTAAAGACAGATAACAACGGAAACCTCACTGTTGCTGATGAGAATATAAAATATAAAACGGAGGTCACTTTACAAAACAGTCTGGTCAACTCCCGAAAAGGTTAATGTTACCATCTGGCCATAATTCTAATTATATACCAAGACAAATAAAAACATATGTCCACACAAAAAGTTGTACATGAACATTGATAACTACATTATTCATAATGGCCCCAAATTGCAAATAACCCAAATGTTCATCAACCGATGAGCGGATAAGTAAGATTTAAAAATCCATGCAATGAAATATCTGGCAAAAAAGGAAATAAAGTGCTGATATATGCTACAACATGGATGAATCTGGAAAACTACTTTAATAGGGAAAAAAAATCTCAAAGACAAGTAACAGGATTGCATTTATATGAAATGTCTAAAACAGACCAAGCCATGCAGACAAAAAGTAGCCCAGTGGTCATCTGGAGGGGCAGGACCTGGAGTACAACACAGAATGACTAATACTAGACACGGGTTTTCTTTGGGGGGTGATAAAAATATTTGAAAATTGACTCTCACGATGATGGCACATCCCTACGAACATACGAAAAACCACTAAATTGTGTACTTTAAAGGAATGAATTGTGTGATGTATAAATTATATCTCAATAAAGCTGTTTTTGAAATTATCTTTTTTTTTTTTTGGCACCAAGGATTGAACTCAGAGCCACATCCCCAGCCCTATAAAAATTTTGCATTTTATTTAGAGACAAGGTCTCACTGAGTTGCTTAGGGCCTCACGAAGTTGCTGAGGCTGGCCTTGAACTCAAGATCCTCCTGCCTCAGCCTCCCCAGCGGCTAGGATTACAGACATGCACCACTGCACCCAGCTAAAACTATCTTCTTAAAGTTAGTATTTATTTTATTTTTCTGTTAAGATCTCCCTTTTCCTTACCCCTAATTTACCATATTTGTAAGCAAAGAATAGCAGATTACAAAACAATTTAGATTCTCAGTCAAATTTGCTAAGGCAGAAAAAGTGCATAGAAAACAAAACCATAATATATTGCAATTGTTTTATACATATATATTGTTTTTATGTAAATGTTACATATTATTTATATTTGCTGATTCATTTTCCAAGTTTTCTAATGTAAACATATACCATTATGAGGAAAAAAGGTGGTGTTCAATTAAGGACCCTTTCCTTTACTGTGTGGTCCATTCCTGTTCACACTCTGCCTATCACAATGCTGCAGGCCAGAAGTGGTGACCCAGGCCTATAATTCCAACTACTTGGAGGCTGAGGGAGGAGAATCGTAAATTTGAGGCTAGCCTGAGTAATTTAGTGACAGCCTGTCCCAAAATTTTAAAAAAATTTTAAAGGTCTGGGGATGTAACTCAGTGGTAGAGCACTTCTACTGGTATGACCAAAATCAATTTTAAAAAAAGGGGGGCAGGAAATAAGGGGGGAAAATAACACTAGTAGAGAATAGACAATTTCTAGCTAACAAAAATAATGTTAGTAGAAATTAGGGAGAAATTCTCCCTTATATTGGGGAGAAAGGATAGAGAAAGGTATATTAATGAGAAGAGTGAAGATAGTTTAGTTTTTATTAGTGCTCCTCTGAATTAGATTTGGTTTGTCTATTTTATTTTTTTTATTTTTAATTTTTTAGTTGTCAATGGACTTTGTTTATTAATACGCGGTGCTGAGAATTGAACTCAGTGCCCCACACATGCTAGGCAAGCACTCTACCACTGAGCCACCACCCCAGCCCTGGTTTGTCTATTTTAAACCATAACTGTGTACGCTTTGGGTATAAGACATTTTTCCATTCACATTATGAGTTTTTCTTTATCTCATGAATTATTTTAAAAAGGGTTTGTTTTCTAAACTCATGGTAATGACAACCTGGCATTCGTTTTCATTATAGTTGGTTGTCAAATCATATGTACAACGTTGTCTCTACTGTACTTGTTGAAGCTCGCCTGTGGAATGGGGTGTCCATTTTTGTTAACTTTCCAAGTATGCTTGAAATATGTATTTCTTAACTGTTGAGGTGAAGTCCTATATAAATCCATTAGACCAATTCATTGTGTTGTTCACATCTTCTACATCCTGAGTAAGTTTACATCTGCCTAGTCTGAATGCTTTCAGAGATGTGACTATCTCCAAGTAAGACTATACTGCTATTTATTTTTCTTATCATCTTGTCTGGTTTTGCTTCATATGTTCTGGACTATGTTATTCATATAGTTCAGGCTTGTTACATCTCCCAGAATTGTTCCTTGAGTCATTATGTTCTAGACTCTCTGGTGCCTTAAATTCTTTTTGCCCAGTATTAACATAACACAACTCTATTTCATCAGTATTCCCTAAATTTAGTAAAGTGAGGAAAAAAACAAATCTTAATTCCCATCTATTTCTCACTAACCTATGAGATAAACCACATTTAAGTTAGCATCCTGCCCTGCAGGGCTCAGACACTTGACCCACAATCTGGAGAAGCTGCAGGGAAAGATGGGAGCTGGAGAACTGTTAGCCAGAGGCCAAGACAGTAAGCCAGCAGAGATCAGGGACAGAGAGATGCTGCAACAGTGCCCAACCCTAAGCCCACCTTCTGAGCATAAATGCAGCTGCTGCTTAACTTCCTTTACGAACCTTCTGCAAATTTCTCTGTGGCTGACCTGACCCATAACTAGGAATTTTGGGAAAAACAGTTCCAACTCAGTTATGCTGACATAATACAAAACCAACACAACCTACAGGTGAAAGGGTTCTTCCATTTCTTTCATTTAATGTTTTGTGTGTCATTATTTTAGAACTCTCTCTCGTTTTAGAACAGCTGAATTTTTCTTTCATCCCCAAGACTATCTTTTAACTGACATGTATGATTCACCTACATTTATTGTGATTTATGCCTTTCATAATTTTATTTTTTAAAAATATTTATTTATAATTTTTTAGTTGTAGGTGGACACAATACCTTCGTTTTTATTTTTATGTGGTGCTGAGGATCAAACCCAGTGCCTCACGCATGCCAGGCAAGTAAGTGCTCTACCACTGAGCCACAACCCCAGCTCTTCCTTTCTTTTTTTTTTTTTTTTTTTTAATATTTATTTATTTATTTATTTATTTTAGTTTTCGGCAGGCACAACATCTTTGTTTGTATGTGGTGCTGAGGATCGAACCCGGGCCGCACGCATGCCAGGCGAGCGCGCTACCGCTTGAGCCACATCCCCAGGCCCCCAGCTCTTCCTTTCATATTTAAAAAAAAAAAAATTATTTAAGAGAAATAAATACCACCATAAAAAAATAAAAAATGTCAAGAAGTATTTAAACATTAGACAGCATATACATATATTGAAATGTTACATGGTATCCCCTAAACAGGCACAATTTTTCCTTTTTTTGTATCATTTGAAAATAAATTTAAAAAAAAGAAATTTGTACCAAAAAAAAGTATGCATGATTTATATTTCTGAAGTCTATCACATACTAACTTGCAACTCACCACTTCTCCAGCAGAGGCAGCCAACATGTGCTTCACAGGCATCAAATACGAAGATGAATCAGTGTACAAACACCATTTCACATATTCATAGGTGAGGAAAAATGCAGCAGCTGAAATTTAAAACAAGCCAGTCTTTTTACAAAGCTTAAATACACATTCCCACCATAAAGAAATAGTTTTTTCCGAAAGGTATGACAATAATTATTACATTATGAGACAACAGACAAACGTAACTTTTTTCCATTACTCTTTCAGAATTTACTGAGCCCATATTATATGCCCAATCCCAAATTAGAAAAATGCAGACAATGTGATCTCACACTTGGTCATAAAACAAACATCTACACTGGTTTATAAATAAGTCAAAAATATGAACATATGGCTTTACTTAAAATACAACGTGTATTCTATAATGCTTTATTATTGCTGGTTACCCAAAATAGCCATAGCTACTTTTTAATGTCAATTTTTTTTTTTTTTTTTGGTGGCACTAAGGATTGAATAGTGGTGTCCTCCACTAAGCCACATCCCCAGCCCATTTTTTATTTTGAGACAGAGTCTCACAAAATTGCTTAGGGCCTCGCTAAGCCACTGAGGCTGGCTATGAACTTGCAATTCTCCTGCCTCAGCCTCCCAAGTTGCTGGGATTAAAGGTGTGCACCTCTGTGCCCAGCTAATCCCCAGGCTTTTTATTTTTTCTTTTGATTTTGCAATCCTCTTGCCTCAGTCTTCCAAGTTGCTGGGAATACAGATGTGAGCCACTGCACCCTCCTACATCAATTTACCCCTACAACAAGGAAACAATCAAATGCTTAATTAGAACAGGAAATCAAAATCTCAGAAGAGCTATCTCTATCACCATGAACTAATTATAGCTGCACATGAGGGCTTTAAACCTTGTACTGTTAATCAAAAAGTGTTTATCATGTCCATAAAAGATAAAGAATGAAAGAAAAAGGAATCACAAATTCATCTTTTGAAGGACACTAGAATATATCAGCCAAGTCTGAAACACTCAGAAAAACTGCCTGATAGTAAAACTCAGTGATCTGAGGCTGCCAAGAAATATGCAGGCCCGCAGTCCACAGAAGTCACTACCAATTCAGGGACCTGGCACAGTTAACACAGGCCTGTTCCCGTGTGTTCTTCATACAGCTTGTCACACTTTGGCCCACTACAATATCCCTGATGGCATTCAGCTGTACGTTCTGCAGCTACTAGCATCTCTATACCCACCCCAAGGTAAAGGAAGAAAGTACTAAAACTTCCTAAGTTTCATGGTCAGCTGCCTCAAGCTTGCCCAATTTTGTGACTACTTGTGTGATACTTCATGTCTTTTAGGTCTGTAACCTCCAACCCCTGTCCCCAAGTGCACAGCATCCAAAAAAGACTCCACTGGTGAAAAATGATGGCACAATAAAATTCCAAATGAGGATCAGAGCAAGTAATCAAACAAGGAGAAATGGGCTGATAAGAGTCTCTTCTAGCCCATCCCCCACCCCCAGCAAAAAAAAAAACATGCCATACTTTCTTTACATGTGCTATTAAAAAGGGAATAAGGTGGCTGGGGCTATAGGTCAGTGGTGGAGCACTTGCCTCACAAGTGTGAGGCACTGGGTTCGATCCTCAGCACCACATAAAAATAAATAAAGCTATTGTGTCCATCTACACCTAAAAAAATTAATAAAAATAAAGGGAATAAGGCTCCTAAATGTGGGCCTTCAATATGGGTCTTTCAATCTTCTGTCCCCTCCATGCCAACCCCTCAGCTCTGAAGATTACAGTGGCATTCTGTACCTAGACTAGAACCTTAACCAACAGTTAAAGACAAAAGAAAGCAGAAAGGAAAATGCAATTCATTCAAAATCTGTAGGAAGACAGCAAAAGAATTAAAAAAAAAAAAAAAAAAAAAAAAAAAAAGCTTTGACTTCTCTTGCACCCTCCATCTGCTGAAGTTGTGTGGATGGCAAAAAAAAGCAAGAAAGGCAAAAAAGATACCACTGCCCCCATTCTGCACACACACCCCCACACACAAGTTCAAAACCACATTCTGTATGTAAATCCTCAGTAAAGAATGTAAAATAATCCTGTGATCATTGAGACAGCATCATGTACTCTAAGACTACAACTAATACTACACCTAACCCACAGGAATGCTTTTGTGTAATATGTAAGAGACAAAGATCTAAAGAACAATGAGTATAGGTGAAGGAGAAAGCCAAATAAATCTGTGACCAAAAAATGGGGACTTAGTGACATATTCCTGTACAATCCCCTAGCTCAAAGGTTTTTAAATTTGTCTGCATATTAGATTGCCTTGGAATTTTTTAAAACCACCAATGACCAGGACATACCTCAGATGGATTAAATCATAATCTCTGAGGTGAGCCACAGGAATCAGTATTTAAACTCTTCAGTGATCAGGTGAGTCCAATGTGGACAAACTTGGGACATATCCATGCCCCTCACACCCTTAGAGCCATGCTTGACATGGAATAGGTGCTCAATTATAACTTGTTATAACCAATTACTCAAAGTATTAAGGCATACAAAAAGTCAAGATAAACCCAAAACAGCTTGCTGTTCAACAGGCTGCAGGGCAAGGAGAAGGGGAGGTAATAAACAAAAGGACAGAAATACTATTATTTGTGGTACAATCTTTATGTGAATGATATGCTCACAGATCTGGCACTTAAAGGTCAGATTAACCTAAGAGGAAAAATTTCTTATGAATTATCCTGAAAAAATAAATCAAAACCCAGAATTTAAGAATCTCCTAGGACTGTGATTTTATGGATGTGTATTGTGTGCCTTTTTGTTATTATTGGTTTAGTTTATTTTCAGTGCCACAAGAAGCATTCATCACCAGCTAGGGATGTGGCTCAGTGGCAGAGTACCTGCTCAGCATGCATGAGGACTTGGGTTCAATCCTCAGCACTGCAAAATAAACAACTGAAATGAGAAAAGTATCAGCAAGACATGTACCAAGAAGTAGATTCCATAAAACAGATTATACTGTTGCAGAATAAGAGGGGCATAAGTCACATGACTTCAAAACCAAAACAAAGATGCTGAAAGCGGAGAGCAGTGGCTCACACCTGCACATCTGTAATCCCAGCGGCTCAGGAGGTTGAGACACGAGAATCGCAAGTTCAAAGCCAGCCTCAGCAAAAGCGAGGCGCTATGCAACTCAGTGAAACCCTGTCTCCAAATAAAATACTCAATAGGGCTGGAGATGTAGCTCAGTGCCCCTGAGTTCAATCCCTGGTACAAAAAAAAAAAGATGCTGAAATCAGAATATCAGGTGGAAGCCTGTAAAAAACACCTGCATCACCTAAGTACAATTAAAAGACTCAAAGATTGAGCTCACCTGCTACACAAGAATCTCCAAGTATTTTAAACTCTTCAGTGATCAGGCGAGTCCAAGTTATCCAACTTGGCTCCATACTAGAATCACCTGGGAAGCTAACAAAAACTGCTGATTGTCAGACAAGACCCAGAACCTATTTCTGAGGGTGAAACACAGGCATCAGTATTGTTTAAAGCCCAGGAGATTCCAATATGCAAGCAAGGTTGTTCCTGTTTCTCTCTCTGTACTGGGGACTAAATTCAGAGGTGCTCTACCACTGAGCTACATCTCCACCCTTTTTCACTTTAAGTCAAGGCCTTGCTAGGTTGCCCACGTGGGCCTCAAACTTGTGATTCTCCTACCTCAGCTTCCTGAGTCGCTGGGAAATTGTTTTTCTATTACAAAGATACTGTAAGGGAATCCCCAGTGCTACCTATTCAAAAATTGTGGGTTAAACAATGGAAAATAAAATCAGAAGATTAGTTACAACACAGAAGGAACTATGTATCCCCTCATACCATTCTGAAAATAAGTCCTATTATCTTGGCTTTATAGCAGTAAGAATATCAATGTCATGTTTACCATTAGGAAAGGATCCAATAGCAGCAGAAGGAACACCAGCATATATTCCGCGAAAACCACCAGCCTTATAAAATCCTTGGGGACTCTGCAGCCTGGTTTTAATGGTATCCAGAGGAAATAATATCAAGTCAACAGAGGCACCTGCTACCCCACCAGCCTTTAAAAAAAAAAAAGGAGGGGAGGGGAGAAAAAGAAAAAAAGGTTACAATAAAATAAGGCCTCTGCTATTTAGGGGCAAGAAGAGGAAGAAGGAGGTAGTATTTAAACATATTTCTTGTACCTTTCAGTTCACAAACCTTTGCAAAAAATCCAAGGACTTTCTATCTCTACTCTAGATATTTTCCTAGGAAAATAACAAAAAATGTACTAAACTTGCAAACTGTTTTATATTAAATTTTCTTTTTAAAATTTTTATTATTTAAATTTATTTTTTAAAACAAATTTAACATTCATTTTAATATACTCAAAAAATTTTTAAAGCCACAAAAGGAAGGGGAAAAAAAAAAACTCTGCAAGGTAAAGAGTTCAGTCTCCTACTCATTTGCTTTTAATGGTTTCCTGTTGTATACTTCCAAAGTTACCTTGGGCACACAAAAGCAAATATGAACATACATTTTATTTTTCCTTTTTTTAAAAAACAAAAGATAGTATACAATATGCACTACTCTGCGCTTTCTTTCATCTCACAATTTATCTTGGTGACCTTTCCATATCAGACCCAATGTTATATTTTTGTCTTTTTAGCTTAGTAAGTAGTCAATCTGCATTAAGGGGTTTTTTTAAGATTGTTTTCTGAAATAGCTCCAAATCTTTATTCATCTAGATCTGTATTTTAAGAATTACATGTCTAAGGATCCATATAGTACTTTTTATTGTTTATTATATTAAAAAATTCACTGATAATTTTAAAATTAAGTGAGTAAATCAATTAGAAAAAATTGGCCTGAGCTAGTCATCTCCCAAGAAATATCATGCTGCTATAGAGAAGCTGCAAATTAAGCTGATTAAAAACTAAGTTTATATCTCATGATTATAATGCAATATATGTAGAATATTTTAAAACTTATTATACTTGAGTGGAAGAAAAATGAAATTTCAAAAAATATGAACACAAAGATAGGTCAGAATAGATATTATTTAGATATTCTAAAGGCAACATTTACAGATGTGAATCAAAATCAGATTACAGTAAGCAGAAGAGAAATAAAGAGGAAACTCAGTATTCCTACACAGAATTTAACTGAATGGCTAACTTTTCCTTTCTTTTGAATTCTGAACCAAGTGAATGTATTACCTCTTCAAACTATAAAAATATATATTTAAAAACTATACACTCCACAACATGAAATTTAAAAAAAAAAAAAAAAAATCAAGCTGGGTGTGATGGTTCCCACATGTAATCCCAACAGTTCAAGAGGTTGAAGTAGGCTGGTTTGAGACCAGCTGCAGCAACTTAGTGAGACTCTAAGCAACTGAGCAAGACCCTGTCTCAAAAAATCAAAATGGCTAGGGATGAGGCCCAGTGATAGACTGCTCCTGGGTTCAATACCCAGTAACAAAAAAAAAAGGAAAGAAGGAAAAATCAGTACTAGTCAAACACACAGGCAAAATTCAAATTTAGTTTTTTCCATTTTTGAGTTCACTAAATACTCAAGTGGTATAAAGCTTGGTACCAAGCAAACAATATCTGCTTAACCTGGGCCGGGGTTATAGCTCAATGATACAGCACCTGCCTATCAGGTATGAGGCACTGGGTTTGATCTTCAGCACCACATAAATAAATAAAATAAAGATCTATCAACAAATAAAAAATTTTTTTTAAATCTGCTTTACCGGCCATTCACCATAAAGCCACTCCAAGACTTAACTAGAAAAATGACTGATGAGAAATCCAATAAGGCCTATTTCTTAATCAACTAACATGAGTAAATTATTAAAAATTAGTTTACACTAGAAAAGTTGACACCATACTATTAATACTGCAGTACTATACAATTATTCTGGAAGACAAGAAAGAACTTCAAAAACCATGAAAGTCTGCCTGGCACAAGACCTGAAAGGGAAACCAGTCATTCAAAGAGCACAGGAGAGAGCTACACACAGTACTAATAGACCAACCACCTGGGGGGCCTGGTGTGCACCTACAGTTCCAATTCTGGGACTTTGTCGCCTTGGACAACAAAGCAAGACCCTCGTGAAAGAAAGAGAGAGAGAGAGAGAGAAAGAGAGAAAGAAAAAGAAAGAAAGAAGAAGAACCAGGGGTATGGGATTTTTTTCTTTCAGGATATAATGGTTGCCTTTCTCAGTTCTGGTAAAAAGATTCAGAGGTAATGAAAAAAAAAAAAGTTGAAAGGCCACCTTTTCAATGCTCCTGTCACTTGTTCTTAGAGATTTTTTTATAAAATTCAATAAGTAAATGAAATATTTTGCCTGCCTTTTAATTTTCTTAAAACATGGAAAGAATAAAACATGATGAGATGGTCTGTTACAAAAAAAAAAAAAAAAAGTGGATTCTTTGAAAACATGCCGGGCTTTATTCTGATTTTCTCTTTCACCTTAGGAGAGGGCTTAGTGAGATGAGTAGTATCTGTTTCTCAGTTTTAATCAATAAGTTAGTCTTTTAATCTACTTGGGTGCTTTGCATGCATTGATTTCTCTAACGCATTTTCATCAGAATTCTTGTCTTCTAAGAATAAAATGAGCAGATTCAATCTACTTATCTAGTGTAACATTAATCAAGGTACTAATTGCTTCTGTGGATTTCAAGCTTCTTTAACTAGTGTCATTTAAATTCATGAGAATGAAAAACAGAAACAGAACAGCTAACCCAGAACCTGAAGAAGGCCTGTATCTTCAACCACACAACATATTTAAGATTTAAACAAATATTTGATGAAGTGCTTCTAATTTTACATCAATATTGTTTTATACTTGATCATACTAGCCAACATCAACTGGATTATAAAGAAATCGGTATATTCCATTGTTCTGTAGTCTGAGAAGTTTATTTTATCATGATTATTTATCCAAAAGTTATCAGGCAACTTGTTAGCGTCAAGACTTACAGTAGCTTACACTAAAAATTGTAAATTAAAAACTAGAAAAAGTCCAAAGAAACCAAATAACCCAGATAACCAATAAACTCTGATAAGCACAACAAGTTATCAAGATCTTAAAATCATACACATGGATAAATTACACGCCCTACCTTAAGTTAATAAATGTAAATAGTCCTGCCAGGCTATAGAGAAGAAGTATTTAATTAGTGCTTTGAAATTACTGGAAATTTTAAAAGATCTAGATTTTATGCTAAAAAGCCTTTTTCTCAAGAGGAGGCTGACACACAAAAACCAAGGACAGGAGATCATCACTGCTCAACCTCTGAACAAAATGAAACTGTGTACTTTAAGTAAAATCAACACAGGCCATCAGCCTAAAACGACAGGCAAGAAGAACCAGGCTGCTCAGGGGACCCTTCCTCCACAACTGAGAAGCCAGCAGATCTGAAGCACCCACCATCATCCTCCTCAGAGCAGAACTGCTGCTTCCTATGATCTTTGCATTCGCCAGGCATTCTCCCCACAGCATTCCTTGTCCCCTCTAGTCCAGCCTGGAAATCACAGCAAGACTACATCTCAAAAAAAAAAAAAAGTAAAAGAATCTAAATGTCCATCCACAGGAATCATGTTAAATCAATGTTATATCCAAATAACAAATTGCTACATAGTCTTTAAAAGAACAAGGTGGATCTGTATTCACTAGCACTGACATACATGTTGTATTTTGAGGTTAAGTGAGATATAGAACATGTGCTGTATAATCCCCCCTTAAGAACACATATAACTCTGCACAGGAATAACTAAATCTGAAAACACACACAAACTACTGGAAGCTATTACCTCTGTGGAAAGAGATTTGGGACAAGAGGCATTATTGTTAACTTGTTAATTTTTTATATTGCTCATATTTTGTAATTATGAATTGAATATTACAAACATCTGCTTAAAAGAAAGGACATTTGAAATCAATACTTCCACCTTTCAAAAAAAAAAAAGAGTCCCAAATTCACTGATACTCAGTAGGTACTCAGCAGAAATAACCAAACTTCCCTTCACAGACCCTGAGCTACCTCCTCTCCAGCTACTTTCTGCACTCTGCTATAGAACTTGGGGCTTCATTCAATCCAACTACTCTGCTTCCCCAACATAGCCTGAAACCTCTCATTTCTGTACTCCACTTAGGTTTCTCTCTAAGCCTAGAATGCTGTCCTATCCTCCTGTTGCCCACCTACTGCATCGAGCAGATCACTTTCCTGTCTTGCCCTACCTGCCCCCATTCCCCTTACTCGCCGGTACACACACACCTATCAAAATCCTGTCCATTCCTTTCTCTAACATAAGATAACTATAATTTTGTGGGTTAGTCTCTGTGACCTCTATTCTGTACCATGGTCTACCACCAGTCTGTTTTGGTGCTAATACCATGCTATTTTTGTTACTATTGCTCTGTGGTATAGTTTAAGGCCTGGTATAGTGATGCCACCTGCTTCACTCTTCCTGCTAAAGGATTGCTTTAGGTGCCAAAAACATGCATTGGAGAAAAGATAGCCTCTTCAACAAATGGTGCTGGGAAACTGGAAATCCATATGCAACAAAATGAAATTAAACTCCTATCTCTCACCATGCACAAAACTCAACTCAAAATGGATCAAGGACTTAGGAATAAAACCAGAATCTCTGCATCTAATAGAAGAAAAAGTAGGCCCTAATCTCCATTATGTGGGATTAGGCCCCAACTTCCTTAATAAGACTCCTGTGGCACAAGAATTAAAATCAAGAATCAATAAATGGGATGGACTCAATTAAAAAGTTTCTTCTCAGCAAAAGAAACAATCTGTGAGGTGAACAGAGAGCCTACATCTTGGGAGCAAATCTTTACCCCTCACACATCAGATAGAGCACTAACCTCTAGGATATATAAAGAACTCAAAAAGCTAAGCACCAAAAAAACAAATAACCCAATCAATAAATGGGCCAAGGACCTGAACAGACACTTCTCAGAAGATGATATAGAATCAATCAACAAAAGTATGAAAAAATGTTCAACATCACTAGCAATTAGAGAAATGTAAATCAAAACTACTCTAAGATTTCATCTCACTCCAGTCAGAATGGCAGCTATTATGAAGATAAACAATAATAAGTATTGGCAAGGATGTTGGGAAAAAGGTACACTCATACATTACTGGTGGGACTGCAAATTTGTGCAGCCAATAGGAAAAGCAATATGGAGATTTCTGGGAAAATTGGGAATAGAATCACCATTTGACCCAGCCATCCCTCTCCTCAGTCTATACCCAAAGGACTTAAAAACAACATACTACAGGGACACAGGCACATCGATGTTTATAGCAGCACAATTTACAATAGCTAAACTGTGGAACCAACCTAGATGCCTTTCAATAGACTAGACGAATGGATAAAAAAAATATGGCATATATACACAATGGAATATTACTCACAATAAAAGAGAATAAAATCACAGCATATGCAGGTAAATGGATGAAGTTAGAGAAGATAATGCAAGTGAAGTTAGCCAATCCCAAAAAACCAAATGCTGAATGTTTTCTTTGATATAAAGAGGCTAATCCATAGTGGGATAGGGAGAGGGAACATTGGAGGAATAGACGAACTCTAGACAGGGGAAGGGAGGAGGCATGGGGTTATAAATGATGGCAGAATGTGATGATCATTATTATCCAAAGTACAGCTATGAAGACACAAATTGGTGTGAATATACTTTGTAAACATCCAGAGATATGAAAAATTGTGCTCAGAATGTATAATAAGAATTGTAAGGCATTCCGCTGTATATAAATAAGAACAAATAAATAAATAAAAATAAAATAAAATACACTGGTACAGTTGCAAAAAGAAAGAAAAAAAATCCTGTCATTCCTATGGCTGCAACCAAATACCATATTGCTCATAATGCCATTCCCAATCTCCCAGACAGAATTAAATGCTACTTCCCTGACTCCACATAATTTTGCTTATATCTCACTTTAGTTCTAACCATGATGTTCTGCATGAAAATCCTTCAGAGTGCACCTCTGTCTTCCTAAATATCTAACCCAGCATCATTTACACAGCAGGGCTTCCCAAATGGAACTGGAAGATGATAAGCTAACACCTTATAAAAAGACTGAGTGTTCAGAAGAAAAACCACAGCGGATCCTATGTGGTTCTCCCTGTTCTGGTCTGCTACAGCAGTTACAACAACTGAAAGCCAGTGTTATCCGTCTGCTGCTATTTTTCTTAGCATTCCCCAGCCACAAGGACAGCTTTACGGTGTATTTCGGTAGACTTTTCCAGAAATCCTGTTTATCAGCACCTCCTATTTAAAAGGGCTGTGCAGAGTTCAGTTTTGTTTAGTGAGGCTGTTCTCAAGAATGCAATAATACTTCTAGACTCTGAGTTGAATATTCTTCTATTTCTCTAGAAATTCTTTCAGATTAAATATTGCCTAAGAGCCAAGTTTGGCATCAGAAAGACAATCTCAACTGGGGTCTCCTTAGGAACTCTTCTAAGCCAATATTATCTTCATTCTAAACATGAGGAAAATACTGTCTATGCTTCACTAGAATTACTTTAAGGTGAAATGAGAATAAAAACAAATAAGTGAACCTATTATAAGCTCAGCAAAATGCCTGGCCCTTAAACAATTTTCAAAATAAATATACATTCTCTTTAGAATTCTGTGACTATAATTATTCTTAAAAGTTTACTAATACCAATCTGACATGCCAATATTAAAATACACACACACACACACACACACACACACACACACACATAGAATACTTTACCAAAGATTGAAGAGTACAAGTCTTTCATTAGCAATAATGAATTAAAAACTCTCCTCAAAGTTGGCTCTCTAGACAAAAATCATCCACTGGCTGATGCAAAAGAAAACCTAAATCATGCAATGCTCAAAAACCTTAGAGAAATACTAGTGTTCACATTGTTTTATAATTCTAGGATTTGAGTTTATAAGTTAATTTTCAAAAAGTTAAACACCAAACTGTGTTATAAATTCAGTTACAAAAAAGCTGTAAGGGGCTGCAATTGTAGCTCGGTGGTAGAGCACTTGCCTCACACTTGTGAGGCACTAGGTTTGATCCTCAGCACCACATAAAAATAAAATAAAGGGGGGCTGGGGATGTGGCTCAAGCGGTAGCGCGCTAGCCTGGCATGCATGCGGCCCGGGTTCGATCCTCAGCACCACATACAAAGATGTGTCTGCCGAAAACTAAAAAAAAATAAATATTTAATAAAATTCTCTCTCTCTCTCTCTCTCTCTCTCTCTCTCTCTCTCTTTAAAAAAATAAAAATAAAAAAAATAAAGGTACTGTGTTCACTTACAAATTTTAAAAAGTTTAAAAAAAAAGGTGTAAAAGCACATGTTAAAATGCTCAGTAAGCAGTTAAGTTGTATCTCTATTTGCAATTACACAGCTAATTTTTGCTTTACTTGGGGTTTTGTTTTGCCATGCTGGGACCAGAACCCATAACCTTGAGCACGCTGGATAAGTGCTCCACCTCTAAGCTCTATAGCTCAACCTTATTTAATTTTTACCTTCTAGTATGAATCCATGAAGGCAGGGAACATACCTTTGGGGCATTCTATCCCTAGTACCAGAGCAAAAGCCAACAAATATATCTGCTTAAACCTAACTTGTAGAGGTGGGACAATTGTAGGTGGAACTACTATGTTTCTTTTATTTGGCACAGCATTATTCTTACTCAAATTTTGTCTGATAATTAAAAAAAAAAATTAAAGTGATTTTCAACATGTAGTATTAGGGTTTGGAAATGGAAACAAAAGTATATTAACAAACAGAATATGATGGCCTCAACAACTAAGGAGGCTAAGGCAGGAGGATCACAAGTACAAAAGCAGCTTCAGCAACTTAGTGAGACCCTGTCTAAAAAACAACAACAACAACAAAAAAGGGTAGGGGGTGTAGCTTTAGGTGGTAGAGCACCACTGGGTTCAATCCCCAGTACAAAAAAAAAAAAAGTACATTAAAAAGTCATTTATACCTAAACTTCCCAAAACTAAAACTTTCTAAGTAGTCCTCTCTTGAGCTAAAAAAAAAAAAAAAGAAGAAGAAGAAAAAGGAGGAGGAGGGAAAGAAAGGCAGAACCATTAACTGTGTGCTAAAAGAATAAAATGCTTTCCCTTCACTTGGAATGAACTCGAACTTCTTGCAATTTCCACCTACTGGTCCTAATTTAATCTCCACAAAGAGACAGGAAAAGAATATACCTGCATGTGTATCATACCTTAATAAAATTCACTTTAAAATAATTGTTTTTTAGATATATTTTTAGTTGTAGTTGGACACAATATCTTTTTTTATTTTTATGTGGTGCTGAGGATCGAACCCAGTGCCTCACAGTGTGCTCTACCACTGAGATACAGCCCCAGCCCAAAATAATTATTTTGTTAACTCTAGCACTCATTTCTGTTTAGTATTTGCTACTGTTATTGACTTGAGAAAGTAAAGGGAAGCAGTTAAGGACACAAACCCCCAGGTTGCACCACCTAGGTTGGATTGAGCTTTAACATAAAATGAACCTCAACTGTGTGACTTTGGACAAGTTTTCTAACCTCTTTGTATCCCAGTTCCCTCAAGTGAAAAACTAGGGTAAGACTTCAATTGTCTGTGAGAATTAAATGGAATAATATATAATATAAGAGGTTATCCCAGTTCCTGACACAGGAATGTTAGTTGTCAAAACTACTATTGCTGTCTCACCTGCTAGACTGGAAAACTCAATGAAAGTGGTTATGTATGTCTGTACATCTCTACAGACCTAGCTTATACACATCTCAACAAATCTAAAGCTATCATCCCATACATTTGGCTAAGGAACTTCTTCCTTCCACATGTGCCCACAATACTCTGAACCTAGACTACCTGTCATTTATCCCCACAATCACTTTACTATTCTGTCTCCACTACCTGAGCCTTGTAAGTAGGTCTGTCTTGTTCACCACATTATATCCAAGAGTGCCTCCCAACACTGGTTATGTAAGTGAATAAACAGCTGTGGGCCTTCATTTATTCTATGAGATGCATTTTCAAAATTATGTGTTTATGGACTGGGGCTGTAGCTCAGAGGCAAACCGTTTGCCTAGAATGCGTGAGGTCCTGGATTCATCCTCAGCACCATATAAAAATAAACAAATAAAATAAAGGCATTCTGTCCATCTACAACTAATAAAAATGAAGAGAGTCAATCTGTCCTGTTCACTTCTTTACGTGTCCCCGCCCAAATAGAAGCTCCAAAATATTTGAGAAAGGGCTTTATGTTCTTGCTCTTTTAAGTCAAAACGTGTTGCCTCTCATAGTTGCTAAGGAATTTAATAAGCCACCCATGGACTCCACAGAAAAGCTACCTGCGCTTTTCAATGTTTCCTCAAAGCCCAAGGTTGGAGCAGAATAAGCAGATTAATTATGTATTGAATGATTAGGTGAAAATGTCATTTTCTACGACGGAAAAAAGACACAGCAAAATGACAACCTTAGTCTTGTAGAGAGGCGCTGTGAGCGATTTTAGCGACAGGTATTTTTGTTGCTTTTTTTTTCCCTTTAGTTGCATATACTTAATCTCGAGTTTGAAGTGATTATGGTGTATAAAGGAAGTAGAGAGGGCGCAGAGAACAGTAAGTACCTCTCGTTCCCCCTCTTGACGTGCGGTCACGACACGTGGCCTCGGGACCAGGCACCGCCACCGCAGTAGAGCCCGGGGCTCCGTGGGAGACCTCGCGGTCAGGAACCCGAGGTCAGACCTGCGCGCCAAACCGGAAGGAAATCCCCATGGGCTCCACTGCAGGCCTGCGGCACTCCGAGCATCCCACCCTGCTGCCCCGCACTCACCACTAGCGAGGCGGTGAACCCCGGCTGCTCCATGTCCTCGCAGACCGGGTCGAGGGTATCACTAGAGACTGAGCCGAAGCCGGTGGCGGCCCCGTGCGCAGGGCGCCGCCATCTTGGGGGCGGGACCTTCGGTGGGTGTACTTCCGGGTTCCAGTGACGTCAACCACAACAACTGCACGTGCAGCCCTGGGGAGCTTGGCTGGGAGGGGCGCGCGGGAAGAGAGACCCAGCCTGGGCGGGTGTGGGCCAGCCAAGTCTCGCGGCTCTTCTCGGCCTCCGTTTCCGGCAGCCCTGCGATGATACCTGTAAGTGGAGGAAACTCTCGCGAGCAAAGGAGCCCAAGCTGAGACCTAGGAGAGGAGCCTGAAGCGAGGGCGAGGTCCCCCAGAGAGGGGCCGCTCTTCTGAAGGGAGGCCCCACGGAGCCGCAAGACGAGCTACAGGACGCCTTAGCTGTGATTTCCTATTATTCCAACCCAAATCGGTTATCTAATTTTTTTAAACCTTTATTTATTTATTTATTTTTATGGACCGCTGAGCCACGGCAACCCTAGACCTGGTTATTTGATTTTGATGTAATTTTTTATCTTATCTGTACAGAACTTGTCTGAATGCCTGCTAAATTAACTCATTATCAGATTATCAAATAAAAGCAGAGAAAATTAGACTTCAAAAATTTCCTTACCTAACCAAATAAATGAACACCCTCCCCTTCTCCTTACTGGCATTTATTTCATTTAAAATTATTTACTTCTTAAAGAGAGCCTTTTACTTGTTCTGGAGTTGGACTGCACAAAGACATGTATACCCAGAAGTCAGGATCAGTGGATGCCAGGCTGGAAACTAGCTACCACATTAGGGAGATGCAATGAAAACCCACAATAAGGTATGACCCTAGGGCTGGGAGAGGGGGGGTATCTCCATGGTAGCACTCCTTGCCTAGCCTCTGTGTGGGTTCTATCCCCAACACCACAAATAAAAAAGAAAGATATGACTATACACTCACTAGTGTGTTTAATTAGACAAAAAGACCAACTGTTAGCAAGAATGAAAAGCAACTGGTACATTGTTTGGGGGGATTTAATATAGTACAGATGTTACAGTGGTCCACTTCAGCCTTTGAATATAGCTCTTTTTGCTCTGAGTCTTACTTTTAAAAGGACATTTTTTCCTCTCTCTCTTTTTCTTCTCCCCTCTCCGGGTCCCTAACAAGATTAGGGAGACAGTGTCACCTTTTTCTTCCCCTAATTAATTGTCCTTGAACACACCAACCACAGGAAGGAGATTTCTGCCGGAGGATCTAAGAAGTGAATACCTAACATACCATCAGGGCGCTCTGGGATCCCTTACCAGAACACACCTGGGATGCAACCTTTGAAGAGTTCCTCTAAAATCCTCCTGTTCCTCCTGATGGGTAGAATCACAGCCTTTGGAACAGGAAACACCCCCGCATACCCCAACAACCCCACCACCCCATCCACCACCACCACCACCATCACCACCCTACCCGGGTGTTTGTCTTTGCTAGCAAAGCAATAGACCTTTTTCCTTTTTTCTCAAAACTGTGTCCTTATCATTGAATTGGCATTGGGGACAAGGACTGAACTTTAGGCGACACAACCCCTAGAAAAACATAATGTTCCCTTAAGAAATAAGTGTAATTTCATGTAAAGACTTACATTATTATTCAAAGCAACTGTTATGATTTAGATATGAGGTTTCCCCCAAAAGTGCACATGTGAGACAATGTAAGAAAGTTTAGAGGTGAAATGATAAGGTTTTGAGAGTCTTTACCTAATCCATACATGAATCCACTTGAATGAATTAAGTAGGTGGTAACTATAAACAGGTAGGGTGCAGCTGGAGGAACCCGGTCATGCCTTTGGGGTTTACATTTTGTCCTTGTTGGGTAGAGCTTTCTCTGCTTCCTGATTGTCATATCCTGAGCTGCTTTCCTCTGCCATGAAGTTCTTCCTCACCGCAGGCCCAAAGCAATTCCTTTTCTCCTCTAATTGTTCTTGTCAGGTCTTTTGGTCACAGTGTGTAAAGATAGCCTTAGGCCTTAGCCTAAGCAACTCCATTTTAAAACCCCAGTTTGAAACCTCAGGTCTCACCAGGCACACCTACTGAGACCTCCAATGTGGCCCTCAGGCACAAACAAGTCACTTCTCCCCACCCTGACACAAACTCAGAGTGAAGTCTCTGGCTTGTTGCCTTCCCATGATCAGAGTGAAAGGCAAGAAAATTAGAGTGGGGACCCCCAGACCAGATGCTTTCATGCTGGGGCAAATGACATCACTGAGAAATCCAGTAGCAGCTGATAGGGATTGAAAGGGTAGTCAGAAGCCCCCAAGTTTAGTATAAGGCGGAGAGCCTGATGAGGACCTAGACTGACATCCCAACTCTTCTCTCATCTGCCCGATCCTCTGCATTGTTCTCACCATTCTCAAACTCTACAGCAGTCTCTTGACTCTGGTGAGAAAAGGACTCCTCCCCACGACCCTCTCCTCAACTGGCCATCAGTTCCACCCCAGAAGTCTGCCTTGGTTCCTGATCATATCATCACAGTCTGAGTAAGTGTGCATCTGCTGGACTTAGAGCTTAAGACTTGAGGCTTTGATCTGACACTTGAACTTAGCATGCAGAGGGAATGTCTACCATGAGCCTGTCATGATTAAGTGTGTTTGCAGTGCTTAGAATTGTTATAGAATTGTTTGCTGTGAACTGATTATGTTTATTGAGTGCCTAGTATTAAGGATTGTCACTTTCTTGATTAAAAACCTATAGAGTGAAATTGTATTAAGTAATTTGAGTAAAGAAAGCATTGAAAAGGGCAGAAGCATGTGGACAATCTTTATTTTTTCCCCTCAACTGCCTAAGTCACACCTTTTGCCCATTGCGACACAGTGATGAAAAAGCTGACTAAAACAGCAATTTTATCCATAATAACCAAAAAATAGAAACAACCCAACTGTCTATCAACTGATGTGGTACACCCTCACAATGGAATATTACTTAGCAATAAAAAGCCATTAATTCCTGACATATGTAAGCAACATGGATTAAGCTCAAAGCATTTTGCTAAGTGAAAAAAGCAAGCTCCAATAGGCTACACATTTGTAATTCCACTTACATTAAAACTCAAGAAAAGACAAAATTACAGTGATAACATATTGGTGCCTTCCCAGGGCTAGGCAAAGACCTAAAAGGGGAAACAAAAGGATATTTTGCAATGATTAAAATAGACTCAGTCATTTTGATGGTGGTTGCATTGGTCAATACATCACTAAAATGCATTGACTCACACAATTAAAATGGATGCAATTATTATATGTAAGTTTTATCTCAATAAATTTCCTTAAAATATACTTATCCCACAGAATTATGAGGACTGAATAAAATATTTATAGAAAGTAATTAGCCCAGTGCTTGGCATAGAGAAAATATTAAATTTATTCTGTATTTTCCTATTTAAGTTATAGATCCTATTTAAGTTATAGAGTACTGTAAATGAGATACTGACAAATTATTAAGGTATATAAGCACATTGTATCACACACCACCATAATTTTCTAAATGAAAATAAATTTTATTTCCAGTGTTCTTGGAAATTTTAGATATAACTCCTCACCTACAAGAAAAAAAAAGTTTTGTGGTACTGAGGATTGAACCAAGGGGTACTCTACCTCTGAGCTCCATCTCCAGTCCTCTCCTTTTGTTATTTTATTTTGAGACAGGCTCTCGCTAAGTTTTCCAGTCTGGCTTCAAACTTGACGTTTTTCTGCCTCAGCCTCCAGAGTCTCTGGGATTACATATGTGTCCCACCATGCACAAGCCTTAAGAGAAACTTTTACCCAGATTTTCAATTTGTATGTTTTGTTTTTTGGTTTTTGGTTTTGGATTTGGATTTTTGTTTGTTTGGTTGGTTTTTAGTACCAGGGATTAAACTCAAGGGCACTCAACTACTGAGCCACATCTCCAGCCCTACTTTGTATTTTATTTAGAGACAGGGTCTCACTGAGTTGTTAGGGCCTCTCCACATTGCTGAGGCTGACTTTGAACTTGTGATCCTCCTGCTTCAGCCTCCCGAACTTCTGGGATTACAGGCGTGTGCCACCACACCCGGCTTCAATTTGATTTTTGATTTAAAACATCATTGGATCAAAAACTAAGGAAACACTATTTTTCTCTCCAACATAAAGATTGTCTTTAACTTTTAAAGTAGAAATCATGTTCTGAAATCAAAATGAAATATGTATTCTCTTTTGTGTAAAGGTAAAAGCTATGTTAGGTGTTTCCTGAAGCCATAGGAAGCCCTTTGGGAAAAACACATATTACAAACATGACCTGGAGCTCCCTTTTCATGGAATGCCAGCAGAAAGACTGATTATACTCATGTGTGCCAAATGTCCTCATATTTTTCATTTTAAAAGAAGAGCAATGTGGTGAGCACTTCTTTGCATTACACATGTGACACTATATTAATAATACTGCCTCACTTGGATCTGCCAAAATTACTTTTATTCAAGCTCTAAAATATTTATGGTATTTATAAAAATTACCAAGAGGTTCAAGACATGAGGCAACAAAACAGTTAGGCCTGAGGCTAGGGATAGCTCAGTGGTAGAGCACTGGCCTAGCCTGCAGAAGCCCTGGGTTTGTTCACCAGCACTGCCAAGAACAAAACAAACAAATGAACAAAAACCAATTAGACCTAATTTGAGAGGAAAACAAGGACATAATCTTAAACTAGGCCCATCTAGAATCCTGTTACTGATCTTTATTGAAATACATAATAGATGGTATGATTTGAACATGCTCCCCTAAATCTATATGTTGAAACTTACTTGTCAACATGATAGCGTTAATAGGCAGGACCGTTAGAAGATGAGTAGGCCATGGTGGCCTCTCCCTCATGAAAAGGATTAAGGCGTTCATAACAGAGGCTTCACATAGCTCTTGGCCTTTTTGACCTCCCACCTCCTATCATAGGAGGATGTCACATTCAATGTGCCATCTTGAAAGCAGATACTGGGGCCTCCCCA